GAGGGGAGAGAGGGGTGAAGGGGGGCTGGCGGGAAATCAGCATTGTACAGACTGAACACCGTATATCGTCCTCGGTATGGCGTGTATTATGCCGCTCCATATGGTCTGGATGCGGTGAGGGGTGAAGTGGCAAAGTCGATGGAGGAGGAGAGTGTGTGGGAGTTGCTCAGGTAAAAAAGGGTGGCGGGACTGCAAGGGGTAGAGGACAGAGGCGAGGATGGAGGAAAAGCACAAGGAATGGGAGAAGACAGAGGAGGAGACTAACAAACAGGGGAGGCCGTACGAGTGGAAGCACAACTGGCCTGGACAGAAAAAGGTAGAGAGAGAGAAAGAGAGAGAGAGAGAGAGAGAGAGAGAGAGAGAGAGAGAGAGAGAGAGAGAGAGAGAGAGAGAGAGAGAAGGTGCCCGTAGAGGCAGGGTAACAGAGACAGAGGTGGAAACAGCGAGTAGGAGCGACTGAGCGCGTAAGGAGAATGGACGAAAGGGGAGCAGAGGCGAGAGCAGGTGACCGACTGAGGTCGTATGTCTGAGGGGCACTGAACCAGCTGAATATTCTCTCTCTCTCTCTCTCTCTCTCTCTCTCTCTCTCTCTCTCTCTCTCTCTCTCTCTCTCTCTCTCTCTCTCTCTCTCCCGCCCAAATAAGCGAGAGAGGCATGCAGCCAGACAACAAGACACCGAGTCTACCCTTCCTAGGGTACAGATGAGGGCAACGGGAAGACGGACAGAGAGGCTCAGACAGTCTCGGAAAGTCTATGTATCTATTCCCTAACGTCGGGGGTGGGGAGACGGATTGGGGGGAGGCGGTAGGGGACGTGTTAGGGGGGACGCGGAGAGAGAGAGAGAGAGAGAGAGAGAGAGAGAGAGAGAGAGAGAGAGAGAGAGAGAGAGAGAGATCCCTTACCTGGTTCCTCTTTTCCCTCCTCTTTCTCTGGCTAGCGTTGGCAAGAAACGAGGTAAAAGAGGAACCAGGTAAGGGATCTCTCTCTCTCTCTCTCTCTCTCTCTCTCTCTCTCTCTCTCTCTCTCTCTCTCTCTCTCTCTCTCTCTCGTGTGCAGCTCGTTCGCTCGTGTATGTGTGTGCGTGTACGTGCGCGTTTTCTTTTTCCTACCTGTGCGTGGGTGTGAGAGAAAGAGCGATGGGGGAGGGAGGAATGTCACTTTATCAGAAGGACATGATGTGATTCGCTGTGCTGGTCAGTTCCAGTCCTCACGATCGTAGCGAACGACAGTTAAAGAGGGTGGAATGACGATCAGACGTTCAGAACGCTAGAGGGACAACACACGGAGCGCGAGAGTATAAACCATATCAAGTGGAGATCGGGCAGACCCAGTTTCTATCTGTTGACGTCAAGTAGCTACATGCCTGTTGAAAAGATCCAGTGCGAGAGTATAAACCATATCAAGTGGAGATCGGGCAGACCCAGTTTCTATCTGTTGACGTCAAGTAGCTACCTGCCTGTTGAAAAGATCCAGTCAAAGGCACGCAGGGGCACGACCCTCAGATCTACCATCTTTCCTCGAATAGAACATACGGTATGTCTGCATTTTACCAACTTTCAGCCTAGATACCGCGATGATGACCGTACGTTCTATTCGGGGAAGACGGTAGGTGCAAGGAGCCCACCTCGTAAGAGATCCAGGCAACAAGAACAAGCTCTACAGATGCCAGCTACACCAAACCGGGTATAACTACGCCAGCTACAATGGACCAGGTCTAGCGATGGCAGCTACAGCAAACCAGGTCCAAAGAGGCCAGCTTGAGAGACACAGCCTGCAGCGGACCAGGTGCCATGAACCAGTTAATATGCAGCGAGCTCAGGTACATGCAGAGAGGCCAGCCACACATTGGCTACCAGTTGGACGGTAACAAAGAGTAACTGAGCTTACCGTCCTACCAGCGTAAGAAAGAGTAACCGAGCTCAGATGAGCCAGTAGGACGGTAACAAAAAGTAACTGAGCTTGCCTCTTTGTTACCGTCCTACCAGCGACGTTAACAAAGCGTAACCGAGCTCAGATGAGCCAGGAGGACGGTAACAAAAAGTAACTGAGCTTGCCTCTTTGTTACCGTCCTACCAGCGACGGTATCAAAGAGTAACCGAGCTCAGATGAGCCAGTAGTGCGAGGAGTAGGACGGCAGCTTCAGACACCCAAAGCACAAGACGGGCTTTAGACCGGGTGGCAGGACGTATAGGCATGGAGAGGAAAGGTACGTAGAACCTGGCACAGAGAGACCAGATACAAGGGACCAAGTACGAGGAGGCCATGCCCTAGCACTCAGGTCCATGAAAGAGCCCAAGTCCAAAGGAATGCGGACAATGAACAAACCAGGCACAACGAGCCTGGTACGAAGAAGTCATGGCTGAGTACCTGGGCTTAGAGAAAGAAACAGGTCCACGGATTCCGGACCATGAAGAGACCAGGTGCAACCAGACAAGCACGAAGAGGTGATGACTGAGTTCCTAGGTCCAAGAAAAGAAAGCACGTTGATTGGTTCCGGACAGTGAAGATATCAGGTACTACAACATAGTCAAATCGAAAACCAAGAGGTGGGGTCTGATTGCCGAGGTCGAAAAACGAAACCAGGTCCACAGATTCCAGACAGTGCAGAGATCA